CCCCCGGCTTAGCCCTCTGCTTTCCAGGGCTGCTATTCCTCTGCCTGGGCCTCAGGGTCCTATGCTGGATGCCCTTGTTCTCACCTGACCCCCACGCTTTACTGCCCTGAGCACCCTCTCAGTACCGAGGACCTTGTAGTACTGGATCCTCACCGGTCAGAAAATGAAGGCTGACTATGATGTTTGAAAGGGCCCCCGATGAGGCTACAGGTAAGGGCTGGGCTGCTAATCTAAAGCTTGATGGTTTGAACCTGCCCAGTGGCTCTGCAGTGGAGAGATCCGGAAATCGCGTCCCTTAGAGCTGATCGCTGCGTAGGAAACCTCATGGGGCAGCTCTGCTCCGTCCCACGGAGCCGCTGTGGCTGCAAGTTGAGTAGGTGGCACCTGACAACGGCACCTTTGTTTGAGGTTGGATCCTGAATGCCTGGAATATTGTTGGGGGTCCCAAAAGACTTCTGAGCAAATGAACCTATAATGCTGTTTGGGGGCAGAATAAGAACGAGGAGAAAAGAGGTCTGATGTCCTGATACCTGGGGAGGTGGGAGGATGGCAGGGCAGCAGCAAGGAACTAGTGGGGAGAGGCCCACTTTGGTTTGGTGAGGACGTTTGAGACATGCAATGGAGCAGGAAGCCCAGGACTGGAGCCAGGTAGAGAGGACATTCTGGAAGCTTCTGAGCTATTGGATTCTGCCCATGTCTGAGAGGATCCTGGGTGTGGAGAGAAAGGGACGCTACACTTTTGGTCAGCCCTGACACGTTCATTAAACAAGCATCATCCCGCTAAACATCGAGCCATCAGTATTTTTCCATACCCGACTCAAATCAAAATTTCTTTTTCCCAAATGAAGAATTCTCATCGCAAATGAAATCAACCTCTTCTAAACATTTCCTTGACATCACAGATAGAGAACATTTCCCCCAAGTGCTTTAAACACCCGAGGAGGTAGGCAGCAACCCAAACATCACACTGGCCTAGTGTTGCGTTTTGGCAACAACGGGGTGTCCCAGGGCTATCCTCAGTTTTCCTTCCCAAGACTCGGACTCAGCTCCCCTGCACGGGGTCCTGGTTCTGTCTGGTGGGTGAGTGTTGCGGATCACAGTCTTGGTGGCAGGGCGAAGGGCATAGGACAGCTGGGTGGGGGACAGACGTGCTGCTGGGCCACTTTAGGTCACGACAAACCATTTTGTAGCTCCGGCTCTTGAAGTTGGGGTAAGGCTTGGTCTGCCGAAGTGGGAGTAGGAGGGGGGCTGGCTCAGGAAGGAGCTCAGCAAGGTGACAGGTGGAGGGTGTGGGGTATGGAGGAGGGGAGCCTGGTTATCAGTGTCCTGGCTGCTGGTGGCATCGGGGGAGGACGACCTTAACTGCACTGTGTGCTCCAGGCTCTCCACGCAGATTTCCCGGAACATCTGGTTTTATTAGGACAAAGGGACAGGCCCTCAGACAACTGCATGTCCAGATTGCCAAATTCAGCAAGAGCACAGGGTTCAGGAACAAACTGAGAGATGAAAAAGTGGAAAAATCCGGTGGATATATACTTGGACCAGTTTAGCAACAAGGAGATCCCTGGGGGCATCGTGGTTACCCCTTAAGGCGGTGACCCACTAGCCGCTCCGCACTGTAGAGTTAGTCTTGGAAACTCACAGGGTAGGTTCTGCCCTGTCCTATAGGGATGCTGTGACTTGACATTGAAGCAGTGGCCGTGACTTGCTTTTGTGTGTTTAGCAGGAAGAGGAAGATCGGAAACCATATCTGGAGGGAGGTAGCGTGAGGATGTGTGGGATCGTGGAGGCTGGGCGGGCTGCAGAAGCGGGGGTCAGGTGAAGGGGGGGTGGCTCTCTGAGTGACCTGGGGCTGCCATAATAAAGAACAACCAAGTGAGGTGGGTGTAACACAACAGGGATTTGTTGCCTCCTAGTTCTGGAGTGTAGAACGCTGACCCTATTCCAACACAGCCTCCTGTCAACTGATAAAGACCCTACTTCCAAACAGGGTTACAGTCACAGGCACTGGGGGATAGGATTTAAACTTGGGGGTGGGAGTGGTGGTGGGAACACAGTTGAACCTTTAACGGAGGTCCTGAAATGCAGGAGAGGTGGGTGTAGTGTTCTGGTTCACCTAGAGAAAGCCCCTCCGTAGTGGAGGAGGGAGGCTGCTCTGCTGGAAGCTGGGGAAGAGAGGAGGTCTCAACTCACCCTGCTCTGTACCCCCACCTGCACCCCAGAGTTGCTGCAGTCTGGGCAGGGGTGACTGGCTCAGAAAGAGTCAAAGGCCTGCCCCATGGGATGGCTCTGAGCCCCTCTTCCCTCCTTTCCCCTCCAGAGCCGCTACCTGCAGGGATACAACCCCTTCGACCAGGGCTGCGCCAGCAACTGGTATTTAACCATCTGTGCTCCACTGGGACCCAAGTGAGTTGGCAAACTGGAGTCCCAGGGCTCAGGGTGTGGGGAGGGAAGGCTGGGCCCTCTCCCCTAGCCCCCTGAACACAGTCCTGCTCCTTGGGGTTTGTTTCCAGAGCATGTGGGAGCTTCCAGGCCTCTTTGACTCTTTTGTTCAAGGAATGGAGGAGGTAGGGGTGGGGTGGGGGTGGAGGTCACCACAGCCTGGGTGTGCCTGGCCTTGGCTCCCCATAGGACTCAGCTCCAGCTGTGTGTTCCCCAAGCTGAGAGGATCGCGGGCAGGCAGGCTGGGAGGGCTATGGCTCCTTGCATCTGGCCTGTTGCTCCCCAGGTACATGGCCAAAGCAGTCTGGTTGCAGAGAGTGGTGGGACACGACTGGGGGCCTCTGCAGAACCTGCACTCCTCGATGGGCCCCTCTGATCCCCCACCCCCGGCCTTCCCTGGGCCAGAGCCCAGCCCCCAGCCCCAAACTCTGAGTCTCTACAAATCAGGCAAAGGGCCCCCAGGGAGTGGAGAGACATCTGCTTTCCGAGAGGTGAGACTCTGTGTGTGTGTGTGTGTGTGTGTGTGTGTGTGTCTTGGGAGGGCATCTGCAGACTGTGCAGGTGTAGGGGAAGGACCTCCACCCCCATCCCCAGGGTGAACCAGCATGGAAGTTGGAGCATCCAGAGCTTGGGGGAGGGGGGAGCTCTAGACCTGGAGGGGTGCTGGAAGCAGGGACAGAATTTGCTGGGGGTGGCAGAGACACCAAGGGAAAAGGCTATGGGCAGGCCACTGACCCTCTCTGGGCCCCAGCTGTTGATGAGGAAGCAAGAGGACTCCAGTGGTTTATAATCCTGGCAGGGAGGGGAGGGATGCCTTTATGTAAATGAATCATGTAACCTGTTCTCTGGAGCATGTGGCAATAGGAGTGACATTGGGGGGGGTGGGTATGCACAGCCCTGAGTCCCCATGCAGTGACCACCTGTGGTGCCAGCCCAGTTTGCTCTTTTGGGGGTGGGGGCAGATTTTTGCTCCCCAGCAGATGGGTGTGGGGAGCCACCCCCTCAACCTGCCCTCTGTGTGCAGCTCCAGGCCCGCCCATTGTTGCCCCTGCAGCAGGAGGTCCCCAGGCTCAGCTCGGCCTGCCCCTACGTGTTTCACACCCAGGTGGCTCCAGGATCAACTGCCTCAGAGCCTCTCAGCGAGGGAGCTCCACGAGGGACCTGCCCCCTCCCCAGGAGGGAGTGCTGACATCCCCCCACCCCACCCCCAATGCCTATTAAACACTCTTTGCCAGCATCCTGCTGTGTGTCTGCCCTGGGTGCTAGGAGCATGGGGCTGTGGGTGGGCTTTAAAAAACAAAAGAACTGACCTCGCTGCCATTGAGTCCATCCCAACTCAGGACAGGACAGAACTGTCCCTGTGGGTTTCCCAGACTAACTTCACAGGAGTAGAAATCCCTGTCTTCTTCCCGAGGGTGGTTGCTAGTTTCGAACTGCTGACCTTCCTTGAAGTTAGCAGTCCTGCACATACATATGCCACTAGCACTCCTAGTGGGCTCCGTGGAGCTAGCTGGGCGAAGATGCCCAATGCTGGCAGTTCTGAGACTTTGGACAAGTCATTTGACATTTCTCTCAGTCCTTAAACTAACCAGACCAAACCAAACTTATAGGGACCCTATAGGACGGAGTAGAACTGCCCCCGTGGATTTCTGAGACTGTCGTTCTCTATGGGAGGAGAGAGCTCCGTCTTTCTCCTGAGGCCTGGAGAGAAGGGAAGGAAAAACCCACCAGCATCCAGGGCCTTGGCTTTGAGGACCGGCCAGGCCGCCCATCCTGCCGCACTCCTGTTAGACTGCAGGGGGCGCCGGCCGCCCGAGAATTCACCCTCCTAGCCGGGAAGGAAAGTGGCCGGAACCCTGGTGGGGTAAGCGTGGTGTCGCTTCAGAGGTTCAAACCCACGATACTATGAGTCGGAATCCACTCTGTTGGGGAGGGGGTGGGGAAGCAGGATCCAGTCCGGTTATGCTAGAGCCTCCAGGGTGGGCTGGGGTGGCCCAAGGTGGCCTCGTTCAGGAAGGGGCTGTGGGGACACTCTCCATCGGAATCCAACCCTGGGTCTTTCTTAAGCCTCGCAACTGATCCCCAGTCCCTCCCTTTGGGTGCTGTGGGTCTGGCCCTGGCTCTGGGGACAGAGGTGGGTTGGGGACCCCTGGGCTCTGCTAGGGGCCACCGTGTGACCTGGGGATGGGAAGGTTGTCAGAGGACGAATCCAGGTGATTCTAGCAGTGCCGCACGCTGCAGCCCGCACAGGACCAACAGACCGGTGGGTGAAGGGAGGCGCCGGACAGTGTAATATA